CTGCTGAAAAGCAAACAATGCAGCAGAGTTTCACCATTACAGCAGGACTTAAGCACAAAATGAAGGCTGTAATTCTAGTGCATTTAAGCAATGAGTAACATCATTATCATTTAAAACACTAACAATTGCCAAGAGGCAGTAAACTGCCTATCAGAAGACAAAAGAGTGGACAAAGCATCTGCCTTCCTCACTGCCCCACACCTGTACCTGCAAAGGGAAGCACAGCTTTGGTTTTGTTTGTTTTGGAAGTAAAAAAATCCTGTTTTAGTCTGTGCAGCCGTGGTCTAAGTTGCAGAGATGGCAGTAAGATATCATTTTAGATAATGTGTAATACGTTACATATTGGTATTTCAAGGGACAGACAATGACGAGGCCCAGGCTTAAAAAAAAATTAAAAAAAAGAAAAAGCAAAAGCACAAGGGACGTGGAACTTCACTCACCCCCTCAGAAGCTTGAAAAGCATGCAGCCTAGGGAGAACCAGTCTGCACTGCTATCGTACGCTGTTCCCTTCTGGAGCACCTCGGGAGCCATGTATCCATGGGTACCTCTGAGAAGTGAACAGGGACAAAATCTTGATTACAAACAATTACTGTAAAAAATAAAATAAACTAAAATAAAATCAGGGTTTTTTCAATAAGGTAGCCTAAATTAAATATAATTAATTTTAAACATTATTTTATTTTGCTTGTTCTTTAGCCATACACACACAGGAACATCGCTGGTCACCGCTGGAAAGCGGTCACCACACGCTGCTTTTACCCTTGACGTCATTGGAAGGTATGAACTTTTTCAATAAGCTACTGAATTGCCAGTCCTTTAAGATATGACAGGATGAAGCATTCCTTTTGATTAATTCTGAGAGTAAATCAGGGCAAATGAGGAGCTAAGAATAAAAGGTGCCAGATAAGATGTGGAATCTACACACAACCCAAGAAATTCAGATCCCAGTTATGACCTGATGCCAGGAGGCAGAAAGGAACACAATTTGCCTCCAGTTCTACAAAGATCCAGAAAGAGAAGGACACAATAAATCCTGTTTTTTAGTCAGTTTCAGAAAATTTAATTATCCATTTGGGACAATTAAGACAATCTGGTATTTTAACTCAGTCAGGTTCTTATCTTCTCTGAACAGTGAATCATCTCGAAATAATGTGTCATCTTCCAGCCATGCCTACACATCAGCTGCTACAACTGTGCAGGAAAACAGAAAGAGGAGACTCAAAAGGCTTGTTAGAGTATCCAGCTTAGCTGTGCTATAAAGCAAGCCTGGGTCACACCAGTGGTATTTTTTTTCCTTTAGGCAAATTTAAATTATAAAGACACATTATAAAGGATTTATTTAGCAAAAATTGTATGTGCAGCAAAGCTCCTTTACATGCTACTTACACACTAGCATGGGGCTTCTTTTTGGAAAAATCACAAGCCAGTCCAAGGTCTGATATCCTGACATGCCCATGTTCATCCAACAGGATATTTGCAGGCTAGGAATGCACAGACACAGGAAGGTTACTGCTTGGTATTCTTCAGTCGACAGAAGTACAACTTCTCAGAACACAGTAACTCATTCTCAACATCAATGCTCTCTGGTAATTGGTAATTACTTTTTTTTTACATCAATATTACAGACACTTTGGAGATAAAATCTGCATTCTAATGGAGCACTACCATCAGCTCCAAAGGAGATCATGAAATACTGACGAATAACAGAAGAGAAAAAACAAGCAAGGCTGGAAACCGAAAGCACATGAAAGAATAAATCCACTTTGACCTCAAGTACACATTGCTTTTGATTCTTTCACAGAAGGGTCTGTCTGTGGCTCTTATGTCTTTTACAGAATCACAGAATCCCAGAATTTCCTGGGTTGGAAAAGACCTTTAAGCTCATGGAGTCCAACCATGAACCCAACACTGACAAGTCCCCGACTAACCCATGTCCCTCAGCACTGTGTCTACACGACTCTTCAATCCCTCCAGGGATGGGGACTCCACCACTGCCCTGGGCAACCCCTTCCAATGCCTCAGAACCCTTTCAGCAAAGAAATTCTTCCTCACATTTACTTGCAATCTACACTCTGCACTCTCAGTGCAGATTTTTCCCCCCACTTTTGTTGTCACCTGGCTCACGGACACCCCTTTGGGAGCAGTCCTCAACTGCCCACACGTCAGTGAAACACCCCTGAGCAACTGTCTTCCTATTCATCTCCCATCACACACGCTCCTCTTCCAGGGCTCTCAGACACACAGCGCACTCTGAATTAACAGCAGCACTGAGATGGTGAGTGAGATGAGTAACACTGCACAGGATTTCTCCTGACCCCAAGGAAGCATCTCCCAGGCTGGTTAAACTAGATAACAGCACAGATCAGAACTGTGTTGAAAAATTATTAGAAAAATCAGCCAAAGATAAACAAACTGTCTGTCTCCTTCCCACGAGAAGGTTTCAGGTAAGATACTCCATTTAACCCACGAGTATCTCTGGGTGATTTGCTGCTGTCTGACAGCCCCCCCCCCCGTGTGAGTGCAGTCCCTGTGTTAACCCTTACCTTCAGGTCTCTGTAGACAACAAAGCGGTTGTGCATGTGTTCTAAGCCCAGGATGATTTCAGTAGCATAAAACCTCATTTCTTTTTCAGAAAACACTCCGTGCTGGGAGAGGTGGTAGTGCAAATCTCCTCCTAAAATTAGAAGGATTGAAATGCCATTAAAAAAACAGTAAAATCTTGCCTCACAGGCAGACAGCATGATGTACGGGGGGAAGAGCACAGCATTTGTAGGTTCTTACAACCTGTGGAGCATAGAGGAACCCAGACAAACACTCTGCAATATACATGGTGACAAAACACCTGAGAAAACTAATACATAAATTTGATCAATCTGAAACTCCATTTTGAAAATGCATTTGCTTCATACACATTTGCATTCAGTGACTAATCCAACAACTGAGTCTTAATGCAAAGGATTTCCACAGCAAGTAAAATGCAGTCACATATAGAGGTTGCTGGAGAACTGAATAAATTAGCATATAGAACAGCTCAGGCTGGAAGGGACCTTTAAAGGTCACCTGGGCCAAAATATTCAAATATTCATGCTGGGGATGTTTTGACACTTTCCCAATCAAAGAATGGGCACAGTACAATGTCACTCTGTGAGCTAATCCACACCATCAACACATCAAATTGTGAATATTCCTAGAAAACTGTTTCTGACCAAGCTACAGATTTAAAATGATCAACCAGTTAGCTGAATTTGACCTACAGCTTAGATTTTAATGAGAATTTTCACTTGCAAAACACCAAAGCCAGTCTCTATTACTTACAGGATATGAGATATCTCTCAATTAAATTCCCAGCTTTGCAAGACGGTACGAGTCCAACATCTGGAGGTGTTTACCACAGGACCACAGCCAGAGTTTGGGTTGAAGTCCTGCAAGTGCTGAGCATCCTCAGCAAGTATGGGCACTGCAGTATCTCCTCTCTCTTCACTCTGCCCATTTCCTTCTCTCTGTCTTCTCCTAAGAGTTATGCTAAGGCTTCTAGAGATAATTTCTTTCCTTTGATGAATGCCTCCCCCATCTATTTTCTTTGCAGAGCTCTTTACAGTAGCCTTTTTATTTTTATTCTCAAAGCTGTGTCCCTGATCTCCTCATACATTTCTCCACATGACCATCATTTCTTTAAGCTTCCAGCCCAGTAGGCCCTTTGGTATCTTTATTTAAATATGTTAATGTTATAAGGTATCAGAGATTTTTCAGTCTGTTCTCTATGTTCCTTGTTTTAGATCAGTTTATCCCTCCTGCTCGCAGGCCGATGCTTCACACCGCTGATTATTTTTCCCTCATTCTCCTTATGATCTCAGCAAGCCCTTCTGCCAATATTCCTGTAATATCATCATCACCAGCCTCGCTTACCATTCATCAGGTCCAGAATGAAGCAGAGTTTGTCAGGGGTGTGGAAGGCATAGGTCATACACACTATAAAAGGACAGTCCTAAAAGGAAAGGAGCAAAGAGTTAAACTCGGGCGATAAGATCAGCAAAGCACTACTCAGAGAAGCTAAAAATAAATGTGATCTTTTTCCTGTGATATTTTCCAATATTAATAATAATTTTCTAAAGCAATTTGCATAATAATCTACATACTCTGATGTTTCAGTTTAGAGGTCTTAGATTTTGCTATCTCATTTCAATGCAAAAATAAAAAAAGCTGTGACAAGTCAAAGGCTTAAAAAAATGCAGGTAGCATCACTATCTTCTGAAGACTTGCAACTAGAGTTTGTTATAAAAATCTGTACCTGAGTTTGCACTCGACTTAGGTGAAAGATACTTCAAGGCTAACAAGCTTTAGGCCAGCTCAGAAAAAATAAAGCTGTTCCCATGAAGTGTAAAGGAACTGGACGACTTCCCACGATTGCACAGCGAAGGTTCTGCTGTCAGACACTGACCGAGAATCTGAGTCACGTCACATACAAAATCCCAAAGGAATGAAGGTTTTATCCTCACCTATACATTAAACCCAGCTACACCAGTAACACCCTGTCCGCGTGGCTGAGCTGCCCACCGTGCCAGCGAGGACTCCTGCCACCCACTGCTGCCCTGAGGCTCGCCAGCAGCGTTTGCCACAGATGATGAAAAGGAACACAAACAGACCAGGAAGGAAGCCACAACTCTGACACGTAGGCAATGCACAGGAAGCACCAACAACAAGGTCCAGACTATGCAAAACCCAGACCAGAAGGGTGGTGGGTGCAGGTTGAAGAGCTGCAGAGTGGCCAGGCGCAGGGATGGGTTACGCTCCCACCTCTTGATGCACTTCAGCCTTAACTCACACAGATGTTTAAGTGGAGCAGCCATAAAAAAATACAGCTGGAAAAACACCTCTTAGATGTCAATGATCTGCTCATTGTGCTGGTTCTCCAATGAACATGCATTGAAAGATGGAACGTCTGCAGACCTTCCTCTCTTCATTAGGCCTATACTGGATGCATGTGGCTAATTAATAGGGGGTGGCTATTACCTCGTTGACCCCTTCTCCAAAGCCATGTGAAACCAAGGCTGTTTGGTGAGTCTACAATGAAAACTTAAGGAATGGCTGTGCTGTTGGAAAGGACTGGACTGATCCGTAACACCGGCAGATGATGGTCTGACCCCAAAGCGTGGAGGCTGACAGGAAGACGAGCTAAGACGAGCTGGGCTGCTGAGGAGCCAGGACACCACGCAGGAAGCACAAACGTGACCTAACGCGACTCAAACAATGTGTTAGTCATTGCAGCACTGATAGTGAAAGCTCTGGGAATCTCCAACAGGAACTCATTTCCTTCCCAGTTCAGAAGGAGCAAAACACGGTGGCCTTGGGCAGAGCAGGGCGGTGGGACCCGGCTCGGGGGGCAGGAAAGGGAGGGAACCGTGACCCCATCCTCACCAGCCAGGCCTGGACAGCTCAGGTCAGTTCATCCTTCCACAAAACCATGTCAGGTTGAAATATAAAGCTTTACACACTCGGCTGCCATCCCCAACGACCCCCACAGCACTCGGACCGACCTGCTCTAACGTTCAAACCCAACTGCATCTCATTTTTCCTGGGCAAACGCTCATTCTGGTCACACCCCTGCAGAACACACACCCGCGTCCAAAACACCCACAACAGGCAGGAAAAACACCCCGCTGCTAAACGGTCCTAGAAACAAGAGACTACAGGCAAAGCAGTATGGCATCTAACACAAGACACTGCCTCTCGTTAGAGCTTTGTGTTGCTCAGAACCACTGTAGTTACCACTTAACTTCAGAGCAAAAGCTTTAGTAGAATTATTAACTTAATTTTCTGAATCAACTGGGTAACTCAGAAGTGTCCCCAAGCAGGCTCCTTAAAACCTCGGCGCAATCTAATTACCCAGAAGGATTTACTGTTAGAATTTAAACACCACACACAGAAAAATAAAAGGGTGTTTTCTATAGGAGAACATAACAAGCCTGTATTTTTATGGATCTCACTTTTTAAAAGAAAATAAATCTGCAAGTGTAGATGTGATGCATAATTCATTTTTGGGTAAGCCTTCCCAATTTAATCACTACCCTCTCACTGTTTAACAGAGAGAAGAAACTGTAGTACAGCGATATTTTTCTGACACAAAAACCACTGCAAAAGAGTATTTTCCAGCACAAAAATATGCTATAGGTACTTTTTAAAAATGAAACATAAAGCAATAAAGCAAGTTTCCCAAGAGAGTAATACTCTGTCGCAGTCAAGCTTCTGCTCTGAAAAAAATAAGCAACGGTATGACAATAATGTGTGAATTCAGAATAGGTTGGAAACAGCTCCTTACATCCAAATAATCCTGGATTAAATCCAAAAAATTGTAGAAGACAAATTTCTGGTAATAAATCATGTGGAAGGGGAAAAAAAAAATTATAATAACTATTAAAAAAATTGTAGGAATGTATTATTTTAAAGACATTAGCAGACTAACAATTACTTTAGAAGGAAACCTTTGATTCTGACTCTTTCCTGTAACCCAAGCACCCAACTTCATAGCACCAGAGGAAAGTGTGCTCACAGCATCGAGCAGCTGTGCAGCATTTTAAACTGAAGGGCAGCTCTGTCCTGACAGGTCTGGCTCAGAGAGACGTGCCAGTCAAGGCTGGACACACCGAGCACGTCTGTCATTCCCGCAGGCACAACTTACATCTTTTACACCATCAAGATTTGGGAAGAGATTCCATTTTTTGAGCGAAATCGAGACTCCTACAAATCTCAGTACACAGGACAACAAAGGACCTGTTCTTAGAAAAAAAAAATCCTTGATTATTCATCTCAGATGTTTTACTGTTCAGCCTGCCCACTTCTGCTGTGCCTTCAGCATCCTTTGAGGGAAGCTTCAGTCCAGTCTTTAGTCACATCATCTCAAAAAGAGCTGAATGAGTGAGCTTAACTGCCTCGTTTTTTCAGAACAAGGGAATTAGATGACAGGGTAGAGCAGAGCCACAGCCCTGCACAGCCCCTGGTCCTGCACAGCCACCAGAACAGCCACCTCCTACCCGCCAGGAAAAGGTTCCCTAAATAACCACTTCCTTCCACAAACAGCACCTTCTGGCAGGTTGGTTTGATACAGCCCGTCAGCAGCGATGGTCTCGGTGATTTCAACGGCCCAGTTTTTGAACGTTCAGTAAACATTTGGGTATTACAGAAAATAAATACTGGGTTGGTTTTGGGTTTTTTTTTTATCTTTTAACAGAAAGTAAAATATTTTCCCTACTATGCTATCTTCTAAGATTTTCAAAACGCACTTCCAGCCTCCAGACTGAAAATCTCTGGGTGAGAGGAAGGCAGAGCCTGTATCTTGCAGAAGAGGAAACACAAACCCTCAGCAACACTCTGCCCATGTTACAGCAACGCTCAGTGACAAAGCAAATCTACCAGCAGAGAATCCCAGGAAGGCAGAGCCCACGTTTGCATTATCAGGGCAATCCAGGTGTTCCCTGTGCTCTGCAGAGGTGTCGGTCATACCTCTGAGCTGTGCCGATTCGCAATGTCACCATGAAAAGTTCTTCTCCCAACACGGCCACGAGGTACTCGCATTTGGGAGCTCCCTATTCAAGAAGTAGTTCTGAATGCCAAAATTTTAGGTGGATTAACAAAAATGATTACACAAACGTATGTGTAATCTGCACAGCTGTTATTATGTATTTTGCAGAGACATCTGGATTCCCAGTTAAATGACTAATTGTACTATGATGAACTTCCCAGTTCCATTTTGTTCCGGACAGCACATAAATCCTGTCGTTGGGGAAGGCACGCGCCATTCAAACCTAACAGCTCATAAACAGGAATGAAATTAATTCTCTTATTCTGCCATTTTCAAACCTATTTAATTCTGCATATTCAAAAGGCTCCAGTATCTCTTGCATCAGCAGGTGTGCTCGACCTGAATGGATGGCATTTTGTACAAGATCTCTCTTTCAAATTTCTTAGAATCTAACAAGTTACACTCTAATGAGCTGATAATCCTTAACAAAAAAACACCCAAATTGTTCGTCTTGCTTTTCTCTTGCTAAATAACTGTCTGTGCACTGTCATGTAAGAAAACTACTTCCACCATTAGCAGCCTTGTGAACAGTTTCCTTTTTGAACTGCTAGACATGAAAATTCACATTCAGTACTGGAGCAACAGAATCACAAATTGAAGTTAATAGGACAATTATTACTCATTTGCTTAGATTTCTTGTCTAGTCTTCACTACAGAACTTCACCCCACTGGCTCTCAAGACTCCTCTCAAGACATTTCTGGACAAGTCACACCTTATCTGTGGTGAAAACAGTTAACTCAATTAAAAAGTCTAACTGACAAATTCCAATTATTCATTTCACAGATAAAAGCACACAGAAATACTTCCCAGTCCTTTGTCTATCTTTATCTTCAAACCAAATGTGAATGCAATTCTGTTTTAAAGGATTCCCTGACTTTTCATTTCAGTGCATGCCTGCCCTTCTCCAGAGACAGGCTGAGGCAGGGGAGGAGTTTCCAGTGAAAGGCACAAGGAGAAATACCTCGTCCTTCCTTTGGAGCTCTGCAATGAGGACAAAGTTCAACCTTCTGATGACATCTTGATGTGTAGCTTCCCTAGTTCCTGGTTTAGGATTTGCTTTACCAGGATATTTCTAACAACAAAGGAAAATGATGGCATGGGTAGCAAGAAAAGTTCAAAAGCTAATCTTCTAAGGACAAAACTGCAATCAGCTTTCCTGTTCTGCCAACCTGCACAGGACAGCACCTTGCACACCTATTGCGAGGCTGAAAAGCGCCAAGCGTTGTCTGATTCACAGTGTTTTCACTTGACAATAGAAGGGCACTGCTGAGCAATTATAGTTCTGTACTTACATGGAAGCCCTGAAAAACACACCTCCATTTTTTAAAGCCAAGTCTGCAGAAGACAAAGGCCACTGCAGCACGGGCAGCTCTGCCACGGCTGCGCCGACAAGCAAAGCAACACAGTGCCCTGGACTATCTGCAGGCAGAAGACAGCCCTGAACAGAAGGCAGCAAGGATGCTGTGGGTGCACTCAAAGTACACAGCGGTGCTAAATGCTTTTAAAAAAGAAATTAGTACCTACTAACCCACCTGTGTGATGCAGAACCACATCCACGATTCACCTGAACTCCGTGAGACAGAGCTCTTGTCTCTGCCAGTACAGCACCCTGCTTGCTCTCTGCCATCCTCTCAGCCTAACGGTCCCAGGAATAAGAAGACTACAGGCAAGGCAGGATGGTACCTGACAAGAGATTCTACCTCTGGTTAGAACTCTGGATTGCTCGTAACCATCCTGCACTGCTGACATTATGCCATTTGCACACCCACTGCACAAGCCTTGAACAAAACCACACGCAATTCCTTCTCACGCTTTACCTGGGAAGAGGAGATGTGTTTACAGGAGCTGCAGACTGAATGTTTAATTCATACAGTGCAATAGTCATGAGGAAAATTAACCTTTTTACCAGCATCGCATGTAACCATGGTGACAGGAGCTGATTTCAAGTTTTGTTTAATGAGGCCAGTGTACTCAGAAGGCTCTGGCACTTCAAAGGCTGCTCTGAAGCTCTGAGCGCAGCGTAGTGCAGCCGCTGCCAAACTGCTCTTCTGCTGGTAACGAGACATGGGCTGGTGAAACCAACACCAGCTGGGTTCCTTTTGATGCACGTTAGTGACACTTCTGATTTTGAATAGACTTGTACACTAGATGAGCAGACTTACCTGGTACACCTTGCTAGGTACTCAGCTACAGTACATTTAAAAAAAAAAAAGGGGGAAAAAATTGGATAAGCTAATAAGAGCCACAGGAAAGGGACTCATCCTATGGAAGTGCCATAGTAACTATAGCAGAAAAGGAAATTTTTTTACAAGATAGAATGATGTTTTGGAAAAGTTTCATATAAAGGAATATTTAAAAATCAGAAATGGAAGGCATAAGATAATTAATTACCCAAGAAATGGGAACCTCCTCAAGCCTCTTTAGCCGAGATGCTCATTTCTGTAAGCACACAAACTGAAAACCAAGCTTGCTTTTCCACTCTTATTCCAGATATATTGCTAGAATCAGGGGGTGGTACCAGGGGGGTTTAACTTTGGCATGTCACACAACTGAACTGATGGCATACATATCATATATGAAAGCTGTTTTATTATATGAAAAAAAAAAAAAGAATAATAAATCAATGATACTTACTCCTGTACTGACAAGAGACAGCATAATTCTTTCATTTAAGGCTAATGTTTCTCCTTGCTTCATCTTGATTCTCTTCTTATCTAAACATTTCATTGCATACCTGAAAATATTAACCATTCAGAAAAAGCACCAGAAAAAATTTCCTCCTATGCTCAGTATTATTCACTAGCAGTTATGCCATGCATATTTACAGCATCCTGTAAGCAAGCTCTTTGTAGACTTAAATCTGGTACTAAAAACATCTTTACATGACTAAACAAGGACATCTCCCAAAACCTCACAGAATTAAAGCCTCCTAACAGTGAAACGTGCTTTACCAAATAATTCCATGTCCAAACAAGCAAAGTGATACAGGAATTACACCTCATACAGCCATTTTTCAGTATCTACAAGCAAGGATTTGCAGTATGAATTAAATAACAGCGACCCTATTGCAGTTCCATTTAATTCTAACACTTTCAACTCTACCAGGAAAGTAATATCTTGAACACACACTGAGTTTTATGAATATATATATTTTTAAGGGTTTTTTTTCTACTCAAAGAAAGGTCAGACAGACACAAGGAAGCTTTTCCAATCTTCTACCATCTGTATTACACAAACTAATAAAATTTTGCTCCAAAAATAATGTTACCCTAACAACCATCAAACAAGAGCAGGGTATGATACAGTCTGTGGATATTTCTTCAAGACGTGAGGTGAGCCTACTGTTAGAGAACAGCTGAGAAGGACACGTGTGCTCCTCCACACAAGATTCCTAGCCACGGGCAGCCACGGATTTTGAGGCTATTGGTTTGAAATAGCCTAGAACAGGAAAACACCGCGTTACAGCGCCGCATCGATGCTCGTCACCTGCCTAGGCTGCGCCAGCTCTGCGCAGAAACGGGGCCTCCCTCGGGTCACCCTGGCTCTGTGCTCCCTAAAAACACCACGTCGCTCCTTGCCACGCGTGGGCTGTGGGGGCTGGGGGCAGACTGAGCATCAACGCACTGGAATGTTAAATCTCCAGACCAAGGAAGGTATTGACAGCACGTGCTCTTGCTGAGGAATCTGTAGATGACGACTAGGACGTTTCACACGCTAGCCTTCGCTCGTGCTTTGACATCACTGAGCACAGGGAGCGACTGGGGCCGCTCAAGGCTGATCGCAATCAGGCATCATCTCGTTCTCGTAGGGAGCTGCGTGCTCCAGCAGCACTGCTACCCCTCCCGCCCTGGGCTGCTTTCTGCATTGTACTCCTGGCCCCTATTTAGATGTTCTTGAAGGAGGTGATGCGAAAGAAGCCTCAGGTGTGTCTTGGTGGGTTAGTGAAACACCGATGGCGTTTACCTTGGAGGGGTGGCTTCCCAAGCTCCTTGCAGGCAGTAAGTGCAGCAGAGGCAGCCATCTAGACTGGACGGGATCTGGATTAGGGATGGGTAAACAGGTTTGGATTAAGAAAGAACTAAACCAAACCTCTACCCAGAAACTGAACCTAATCTAAAGTTTTGCTTCAGATTTGACAAAGGTTGGCTCTCCCACAGGTCACTTCCCTTTAACTCTATTTATATTTGATAAAAACCTGTCCTTTGCTTCCCTTGCTGATCCCAAGGTTCATCCACCTCCTGCCAGAGCAAAATGCAAGCTATGAAAATGCCTGGGAATCTATCTGAGAACTACCTCTTTGGGGTGGGCACCTGCTTAGTGTGGCTCAAGCTAAATAAAATGTTTCTTTTTGTACACGCACAAATTAATGAATTGTACATGGACAAAAAAAGTGCCAAAGCAAGAATACAGACAGTATTGTTAGTAATAGTATTAATATAAACACGTGAGGTCACTGCAAAAATACTGAGCATGAGAGCAACATTAAGATGTCTTCTACTCGTTAATAGCTCTGAAGTTTATTATTATCAAGGATGCCAAGCACACACAATTGCCAGTGAAGCCAGCTGTAACTGCAGAGATTGGGCACTTCAAACTTGCCATGCTTTCTTAGAAGAGAAATGTTTAAGGATGGTCCCTGGACTAAAATTGTTAGGAGAAGATCAAGATGCAAGGAGGAGTGTAAATAAATAAATAAATACATAACTATTGAGAACAATTTGTTAAGTCAATGCCCAGATGTTCAAAACATAATGGGACAATTACACTTAGAGATTGAAATCTGTTGATTAGAAGTGTGTGAATGGTAGGATGAGAAAAAGGAAAAAAAACACACAGGTTGATCTTGGAGTTCCCACTGAGAGCTCTGTTAAACAGAACTGCAGCGCTGGAACTATCTCCTTCCAAACGTAAGCAAAGATCACTGCTCCCTCCAGTGAAACGTGCTCATCAGGGCAGAAACGTATGCAATTACACAAATCTGGAACATCCCATGCACAGTCTGCCCCGGCACGGCCCTGCAGATTGAACAGCGCTGAGGTCACGTTCCTACGTCATCCTCCAGCCCTAGGTCAGCACCAGCTACGTTGTGAGAAGAGCAACCTTCAGCAGATGAGGTGTGACACCGCGCACAATCACCACGGTTTCCACAAGAACGTGGTTCTGCACCGTCAGGCTCTGGTCCAGGAAATCATTTAAGCACATACTTAATTTTAAACCCGTGTGCAGACTCCATTAATTTTGACAAGACCATTTTAATGCAGGATGTGCTTAAGAGCTCTGCTAGACCGAAGCCCCGCTGCATGGCACGTAACAGGATCAAATATCAAACTAAGCTTAAAGACGATGCAGAAATCAGAACCTCTTGGGATAGAAGTTAATTACAGAGAACTCCACAGTAACGCGACGCCGCTTCCCAGTGATTTCATAAGAAATGACTGGAAGGATTTCCTTACTAGTTCAGAGTTTACAATGAGCTCTAAAATAAACTGTGTATATACTCACATTTTTCCAGTGTCTGCTTTCCTGCAGCCATACACTTCACCAAATCCCCCTCTTCCTATTATTCTATGTACACTAAAATCATTCATGGTCAGCTGTAAATGGAAAAAAAAACCAACAAAAAACAAAACAAAACCAGACTTCACTTTTCAGTACTAAAAAACTCACTGTAAAAACATTTAAATAATCTATTAATGTGTTAAGATACTTAACTATTGTAATTCATAGAGCACTTGTTGTTTTGGAAAAAGGAGCCCCTTATTGTGCGTATTTCAAGGTACCTGCAAGTGCTACAGTCTGAAGCACAAACAAGACAAATGAGCCTGTTGCTGTCGAGGACGGACAGTCGCACTCTGAGTGCAGCCTGCAGAGAGCAGGGCTGTTTTACAGCCTAAGTTGTACAAGAGCAGCGCAGAGGGACAAAAGCAGAGGCTGAGGTAACGGATGTTGGGGTCAATGTCAGAACCGTGGTGGGGAAAAGGAGATGGACAGTGTCTGGGGCTGTTACAGAGCAGCAGTTCTGACAGTTCAGTTGCTTTCAGCTATAATAAAAATCCAACAGCTCTCAGCTCCAGACAGGCAGAAGGGCTGTCCAGAAAGGAGTCGTTAGGACTGATCAGTAACGTTCACTGTGCTTCTTAGCAAGGCCTTTTCAGAAGCAGTACTCAAAACTGAACATTTTCTTCCCTGTACCAGCCTTTGACAAGATAAATATACTTTTAAGTACTTACATGAATATTTAGTTCTACGTTTTTCCATTGACAAAATCTAGTAAACTTGTCACTGTAGAAAAAGAAGTTTAAAAGTCGGCTGAGATCACTGCGTAAAGTACTATAGGAAATGTCAAGACTCTGATGTTTAAAATAAAGTTTGTGCTAGGGCGTGTTGTGATATTTAGTAAATTATAGCCTTCCTTTCACACAACTGTAATCTTACAAGAAAAGCAATTACTAGGCAGTGCACACTTAATATTTTACATCCTTATAAGAGAGACATATCAGATAACCTGATCCCTCTAACGGTACGTGCTCAGTATGTCCTCACATCTCTCTTTCAGATAGTTTTTAATTTTTAAAAACAACTAAGTTTGTAACTAACAAACATTTAAATTACATAAAGAGAAAGATAATTATAAGAAGACAGAGGCAGCTTGATTTATGTTAATGAACCTCCATATACTCCAAGGAACATTTAACATTCATTTTATCTTAAAAAAACATCAATAATACCACAAGCTGTTGCAAAAAAACCCTAGTTTCTCATTCCTACATAAATAATTAAGTATTTATTTTCTGAGTAAGAAATAACAGTTCTGTGGAGGCATTTTTCCAGTTATTGCAGTTTGACTGCAGAAAGTCACCGGCCCATTGCACACGGCACTGGTGCAAGAGCAGCTCCACTGAGGTTGAGAGGGCGGCTCAGCTCAACCAGGGCTACACCTTGTAATCATCACGAGACCTTTTCTGCTTAATTGCAAGGTGTCCAGACACAAACCAGAACTGGGTCTTTCAGTCACACACACGAGATGGTTCCTCATGGGAACATCCCACAAGAACATGGTTCTGCACTTTCAAACCTTTCAGATCAAAGTGCAGCCTATTGCTACTGCAACACGGAGCAATAAAAAAAAAATCTATCATCTTTATAATTTTTCTACTCATACATCCTGACATTAATCATGATATACAACAAAGCTAGTTATTTGCAGAAGCTTGCTGATAATACACTATTAATTAAATGAAGTTTATTAAACATTTACAGCCTTATTTTACAGCAATACTTAAGGGACCTGGCTTCCTGCTACATTAGGTAGAAAGTTCGGATAATATGTCATGTTCATACCTTTCCATGAATTTTTGAAATATTTTTCCTCGGAGACTATCACAAATTTCTTCTATATATGGCTAAAAAGGGTTAAGAAACACAATTAGTATTTAAACATACAATAAACTGACTCTGCAGTACTGCCCATTACAGATAACTCACGCTGGCCCTATGTAACCACAGCATTTACTATGCTGTCCTTGAAGGAGGCTCAACAAAGCATTTAAGCTTCATTCAGCATTTGGAATCTGAGCAGGTGCCCTAAATGAAACATAAAATATTTTCATGAGCTAGAAAATCTTAAATGTTTCCCTTGGGGGGACTGTACAGAACCTGAGTGCAGCCCCAGCCTGTGGACAGGTGGTTTGGTAAAACCATCACAGTTCAGTTCTTTTTTCAAATATATTTAAATCCAACACGTGGTCACTCCTGTGGGGTCTGTACTTCCCCGAGCTGCTGCCACGCTTCTTCTTTTTAGTGCTTCCCTCCTCTCTGTCCTTAGTAAGGAGCCAGCACCTCCAGCTCACAAGGGACTTTGTCTAGAGAAATGCTTTCCCTTGATGTGCAAGAGCACGCAGGATCTCAAACCCCAGCCCCATGAGTGGTGGGATATCCTTCAAGCAGTGTAGTTATCAATCTGCCAGTTCACCTCATTGCAACTTTAAAAACCATTCACTGAGCAGTAAGACAAATCACACAGAGGCAACCTTCATGTTTTTGCAATATATAAAAATGTGTCATATTTACATGAAAGACACTTAAGCTTATAAACACTCCCATGACTGATGAGGTTCATTAGCTGCAGAAACACACTGGTTTCATGCACCTAACCACAACAGGTAGTGTAATTCTGAATCTCTTGTCTTGTATCAATGTGTATTAGAACTGGAACAATACAAGAAATATTTGACTTTACTTCATTTTCTACAGTTTCTAAAAAACAACACAAAATATGTATAATTTTGCAAATGAGTCAAGATATAATTTATATTTATATTCAAATAGATGATAAACAAATCCCATACTTTCTTTTAACAATTCAGCATTTGAGAAAGTTTTAAAAAAGCACCATAGTTTTAATGGTGCGGGAACTCCTGTTTAGAAAGGGAACTTCTCATTGCATTTTGTCTTGTGCAGAGTCAGAAAAACATGTGAGATGGTTTTTTGCTTAATGCTTAATTCCTCACCATCATCAACTATGAATTAATACACCTTAAAATTAAAGAAAAAGGAAAAACATTTTGAAAGATTTCACATTACTGAAACATTAAGGCAATTTTTCCACTATGCAATTTGGTTTATCCTGACAGGATGTGTCTCTTCCTGATGCACAGTGACTTACTCTAAACCATTTAATGTCTTAAAATTACATAAATTTAAAAACTATTCTGTCCATATGCCAAGGTATAGTTTGCTTTCATAAATGTGCTTTAAAATATTTTAGTTAAGAATAGTAATTTGTAATTTTTATTTGACTTAGAAAAGCATTCTAATATCACTATTACAGTGAGGAATGTTTACCATTTTATTCTGTCTCCTTAATTAATATGTGCAAAGTCACTTACTGTCAAATGAGTGAAGAACACTTGAACATTCAGAGTGTCTTAACCTCACCTGGAAAAGGCTGGCTGGCACTTGTTTCTTGGCTAAATGTGTTTGTACATGATCTACAGCTTGTTTCGAGAAAGGCTTTTGAAAAAGAAAAAGAAAAGATTTCAAACTGCTGGGAATGTAAGAAGCTTCATTTAAAGCCGACAGCACCGTGGTTCTTTTAACTCTATAAAATACACACAGCTCAGAATGAATGCAACATAGCTTCCCCCAAACACATCACTGTGAAACATGCAGAATGATCCAGCAAAACAATTATTCTAAAGCAGGAAGGTAGGAGAGGGGAAGATGAGGAGGCAAAAGGTGAAGATTAAAGTTTTAGATGATGCTTCTTTAATGTAAAATCCCACATGCAGGGACACTCCAGAGGCAGCAGATGAGATGGACCTGTTACCACTGCAGCGCCAATAATGTGTGCTTAACAAAAAACTGCTTCAAGCCTTCATCCAAAGAACCACACCCTGGGGGAAACCACACTGCAAACTCTTCTTTAAAGTAAGAGCAAATGAAACTGTTCAATACAGATCGATGGGCCAAAACCTCAGCTGGAGGAAACGTGTGTTTCCACCGACTTCAACCAAAGCGCATCTGTCACAAGGCAGCTCCATGCCTCCAACTGACCAGACTGAAGGTTAAAACTGTGTTGTCTCTAGTCTAGAAGACTGCTTTGGGATCAAACTACTACTAATAATAAGCCAAACAATTTTTGTGTGATCAGCTTTGAACAAAATCTCAAAATTTAATCTGAGCTTCCCCAGACACTGAAGTTCAACACCCAGACGGCCCCGCAGAGCCGTTCTCTGGACGGAACAGCGGTTATTTTGAATTATCACTGCTGCCAAGCTCTGGCGTGAGGCAGAGAGCAGTGTGAAATCTGGGTGATACACACATGTGAGCAGGAGAGAAGCTCCTTCATTATGTATGTGTCATAAATCTGTCGGCTTCGGGTCAGACGCTCATCCTCAGAATCCAGTTTCTCGTATTCTTTTATCTGCAATACAAGAGAGAAGGATCCATTAGGTGAGCACATTTCTAAAGATTTTTCACTTATTTGATAAAAATTTGACTTTGGCTGAAGTTTTATTTTAGTTTATTATTTTCTAAATTAAGACTTAAAAAGAAAAACCACCTGAAACACCATAGTTCCAGTTGACCTTGGATTTCTCTCCTATCTTAGAATTTTTATGCAAGGAAACTGATTTGCTTAACATGGCTACAGAGCTCTGTTTTCTAAAATTTGAAAAGGACTGAGCTAAAGCAGCATGTTTACCTCACAGGATCATAGAATCACGTTGGCTGGAAAAAACCTTTAACATCATCAAGTTCAACCATAAACCCAACCCTGCCAAGTCCACCCATGTCCGTAAGCATCATATCTACACGGCTTTTAAATCCCTCCAGGGATGGGAACCCCACCACTCCCCTGGGCAGCCTGTTCCCGTGCCTGACAACTCTTTACTTTCAAAAATAAAGATTTTTTTTTAAAATGTCTTTTGCCTCTATGTCACTATATATATATATATTTTAACTTCTTTCAGAGGCTGTTTCTCTTACAGGACGGGCCGTACCACAGAGCCCTTGGACAGGTCTCCACGTGACAAACTCAGACCAATCTATCTCTGAAGCTGGAACACCACCATTAAACTCAGTCCTCTTCTCGCTGTAGTCCTCTTGTTTGCTGACTATGATAAGGCAACAGTTCCACCACGATTGGCCATCTGTGACCACTTCCGCCTCGGTACCAAATTATAATTAAAACAATTCAAAACAACTTTGCTCTTCAGCATTTTTTTTAATTAATGCAATGCTGCAAAATAATTAGAAGTAGAGGAGAAAGTCCTTCAATATTTGCTTTTTTTAAACCACCTAACTGGGTACCCAAAGCAGAGGGGTCTCTTGCTACAGCCCCCCACAGCCAGGCTGGCACCGAAGTCCCTTTGTTCAGTAAAGGTTTGGGGAACAGGACAGCAGGTGACAGACGTCCCCGTGGGTGATATATCGATATATTCCCTGTGCTCCCCCTCAACAGGGGAATATCCTCCCGAACACGCTGCCCCACACCTCTCGTCACACAGGCGATGCAATTCACAAGCTAATATTACACGTTTATTAAATAGAACATCACTGTGCCACGCCAAAAAGCCACGGTGACAGGCAGAGCTGCCCCACACCTCTCGTCACACAGGCGATGCCATCAGACACCTCTCTGCAATTCACAAGCTAATTTTACACATTTATTAAACAGAACATCGCTGTGCCACGCCAAAAAGCCACTGTGACAGGCAGATCTGAGCATGTCACCAGCTATAAACATCCCCGGCCCCTGCTCGCAGCGGCTCCTGCAGCACCGCTCCTGCCCCAGAGACAGCGGGCCGTGCCGCCGCGTATCCCAACGCCTCCCTGCAAACCTCACCTCACCTCAAGAAAAGCATCTGGCAAAGTAGCTTTTCAAAACCTGAAATCAGAACTCATTAGTTTTCAAGCACCTAGAAGTTCTTTTCCTTTTTTCTTCCCCCCCTTTTTTTTTTCTTTTTTTCCTTTTTTTCTTTCTCCTTTTTTTTTTTTGAAACTGATCTGGATGAATCACTCATCCAGTTAAACGCTCGATCGTGACTGAAGATGCAGTAATATGAAATCCCTGGAGTACAGACCCTTTCTACATCAAGTAATTTTTAATGTAGCAATATACTCAAATTATTCTACGTGTAACAAATGCAGTAAGCAAACCAAATATATCTAAAAAAGCTTCTGGATCCAGTGTGTCACAGACGACAACACAACGAACCTCTCTTTAAATATCTTTAATGGGATTTTTCAAAAGAGTGCATGACAAAGCATTTAAATTCTTTTTAGGCAACACTTTGCTAATAACCTAAAAATACAATTTCAAATTGTTTCAGATATCAAGAGGCGGCTAAAAATATCTTGCTAAACAATCTGCTACAGCATGCCTTTTTGATTGCTTATGACAGTGACATCTTTGGTATATAAAAAGATGGAATGATAGAAAAAGATTCCTCTTTACTGACACCGAGTATCTAATTTGAGTGGGGGAACTGTATGTGGCTAAGGATTTATCTCCAAACTGATAACCAGCTTAGCCTATTTTGTGCGGCTAGCCTAGTAGCAAGGAAAAATTTAAATCATCAGCTTAAGAATAATCCAGACAAAAGGTTATCTCAGGCAGCACTGCTAATTAGCACTCGGCAACACGGGCTGCCTTGCACAAGCACGTGCGCGTGTTCTAACCCAAACCAGCACCTACGGCAGGATCAGCCACACTTTATATTTAGAGTGGCACAAACATAACGAGGAATGAACGGAGCGATGGGGCTCATCGAGTTTCCCGGTGCAGGAGCACGGAGGGAGCCGTGCCAGCCGAGGAGGGCGGTGGAAGGACACGGCTCCGGCCGCGCTCCTCAGCCATGTTAATCCCCCCGGCCGCGCGCCCGCCTGGGCACCGTGTCTGTGAGCTCCTGCGCTGACCAGATCCTGACCATGGAGTACAAGCGACCTCATCGATCTAAAGCCACCTCTCCCATCGCTCTCCAGAGGATCCTCTTACCCATCTGCTGCACTGAACAGGGCTCTTCTGCAACCCTGTCATAGCAATTCCCAAGACACGGCAGAAGCCAGCACCAGCCTCAGCTGTCCTGCCGTCCCCCATGCAATGCCATGGACAGCTGGACCCTGGGGTCTTGTTGTAGATAAGGTAAAAGGACGTTAGAGGAAGGCAGGAAGCATTTGAGGGTCTGACCCAAACACTGGTAACCTCAGTTGCACCTCCTCTTCCACAAGCCCAGGCAGGTCCTCAAAATCAGCTCCAGACAACAGGGCATTGCTCCCTGCCTGGGCAGGTGCTACAGACCACGAGGTGCCCAGGGCCGAGGGTGCAGGGTCTGGGCATCACACAGAAACCAGAGAGCACGGGGATCTCACATAAACCAGAGGGCAC